AAAAGTATTTTCTATATTATTTTAAAATTTCTATTCAAGGGCCTCCCCGTGTTGCTCAACCGCTGGGCCACCGGGGGAGGCCCAAAAGCTATGCACTTTAAATGGGCAAACTTTAAGACATGAGAAATACATCTCTATAAAGCTGTAAAAAAAACATTGGACAAGTTGTTCAATGCAGTGCTACTTTATGGGAGGCAAAACAATAACCTAAATGTTCTCCTCAATAAGGGAATGTTTGAGTGAATATTTATGATGGGATTTTATGCAGTTAGCACAATATATTATTTAAAGTTTTGAGGTACAATGTTAAGTGAAAAAAATATGTGGCTATAAAATTACATGTACACTGATAACACACATAATGTGAATCTATATCCCTAAATCATATTCAGGATTATAAACCAATGTTATGGAATTTCAAAAAAAGATACAAGAGAATAAATTACATGTACATTAACATTACAGCTATCTATAGCATATATGCATGCAAAAACAAAAGCAGATTACTTTTTCCCCTTTAATGTTGCTATTAATTATAAAGATACCGAATATAAATCAGTAAAAAGTACCATGACATGATCATTTACTCTATACTTAATGCTATATTAACTGTTGGATGTAGTTGGGAAACTTCACAAATAAATATCCCAGGAAAAAGGATACCTTAACCAACAGTAAATCACACACAAACATAATTTTACTTTAACTAAGAAAATAAGAATAAACAGACCTTCAGAAATTTCTTTGTCCAAGGATTTTAGCTCTTCTTCTATTTCAGTTTTAACTTTTAATAAAACTTCTTGACCCAGAGATTGAGAAGCTACATCTGGTTGAACCCCTGAAACCAACAAATAAGTTTACGATTAAAAGAGGGAGAGAGAAGCTACTAGAGTATGGTGGTATTTAACTACTAAGAAAACAATGCCAAAACATTAAGGCTAGGGAGATAGAAGGTTAAGTTTTTGCAATGTATTTTTTTTTTTTTTTTTTTGGTCTTAGAAGCATGTGGGCCTATCTAATTGAGAGAAAAATATGGTAATAAAAGAATACATCTCCCCTTTGAGTTGTTTTTACAGGGATGGAGGAAAGAGCAGAACCTTTAGAAACACATCAATTCAAAAGAGATTGGGGAAAGACGGTATTAACACGCATGAGAGCATCTCCTTGTATTCTTAAAAACTATTTATGAAAACTGAATACAATAGAGCCAAATAGAAGAATTTTGTGTCATTGCCATTTTGGTGGTGGTGAAAGGTGCCCAACCCTGCCATTGCCACCACACTCTTCCCACCCCACCCCACCCCACCCCCCATTTAAATTATACAGATCCCTAATTGCATCTCACTTCTGGGCACAATTGTTTTCTTCACCTTCTACCAAACCAGCTGTGCCCATACCCCATCTGTCTCCCCTACTCCTTCCTTCCTCTCCCATTCTCTCTGATAACCATTATATTCTTTTTATTGAGTTCAAGATTTATTCCTACTCTTCTTTATATGCATGTTTGGAGTCTTTGCACAGATGAGTGAAACCAATTTATATCTTTCACCTTTTGACTTATTTCATTCAACATAATCACCTAGAGGCCCATCCACTTTGTCCCAAATGCCACATTTCATCTTTCTTCACAGCTGTGTAGTAATCCATTGAGTATATATTCTACAACTTCTCTATCTATTCATCTGTTGAAGGGCACATTTGTAAATGAAATAGCTCTAGTATTTTATGCATGTTTTGTGAGTTTAATTTTTTCATATCTGAGTAATTAATATTTGCAATTAATAATAAGGTCCTCCCTGGTGGTGCAGCGGTTGAGTGCTGGGTTGCGAAGCTGCCCGCAGCCTCTGCAGTGCTGGTTCAATCCCGGCCACCGGGTGAGGGTCCTACATGGTGCGCAGACCTCTCCTGCCGCCCACTGCCCCCCGCAGTGTACTTTGTCAGTCTGTCTGTTCTGCTCCCTGCTCTGGCTCTGGTGAATTCTCTCACCCTCCCACGCTTCTGACTGTACCCAGTGCTTGTATAAGTAGTAAATAAATAAATCTTAAAAATAATAATAATAAGTTAATTATAATCCACAAAGCATACAACTGAAGGTAATTGTTCACTACTTTGGGCATAAAGATTTGTCTTAGTCATATTAGATTTATAAGAGTTATGCTCACCATCAGTGTCATCCTTATTACTGACACTTCAATTTTTCCACTAATTTAAGAAATAAAGGAATAACTGCAAGTAAGATAACTGTGCAGGCACTAATATACAAAAGGAAGATACTGCTGAAGCTTGAAGGAAATTATCCTCATGGTTTCACACATGACAGTTCAAATTCAAATAACAAGTCAGTTTAGTGGTACAGATGCATAATGGTCAATACTCAGTGCCAAATGTACTTTGTGTATGGTTTGTATTTATTAAATCCTCCTAATGATCCTCTTTGAGAGATACTATTATTCCTACTTTGTAGATCAAAAAATTGAGACACAGGGCCTCCCCGGTGGTGCAGCGGTTGAGCGCTGGGTTGCGAAGCTGCCCGCGGCCTCTGCAGCGCCGGTTCGATCCCCGGTTGCTCCCCGGCCAACAGAGGAGGGTCCCGCATGGCACGCAGACCTCTCCTGCCACCTGCTGCTCCCCTCAGCAGTGTACTTCGGTCCTTCTGCCTGCTCTGCTCCCCGCTCTGGCTCTGAATTCTCTCACCCTCCCGCGCTTCTGATTGTACCCAGTGCTTGTATAAATAAATAAATAAATAAATATCTTTAAAAAAAAAATTTGAGACACAGGGAAGGGAACTGACTGAGGACGCCTAGACAGAAGTGGCGGAGCTCAGAAACAATCCCAAGCATTCTAGTTTCAAGGTGTGGGCTCTCCACCACTATACTACATGGCCTCTCCTGCTTGAAAGTGCTGGCTATCTAAAATCAAACACCCAAAAGTCAAGGACTTCTCTAAAACAATAATCTCCTAATCACAGACATTCTTAGAACATTTTTTGGATTATGGTCCCTTAGAGAACTTAAATAAAATAATGGCCCCTCATCCCAGAAGGTTCACCAAGAAGGCAATCACGATTCTCTCAAGGACCTTCATGAGCCGTTGGTTTTAAAACTTTATTAATTTTCAGCTAATTCTCCTTTCCCTTCCTGGCCTTCTACATAAAATCACACTCTTTGAATAATAAAGTACTATGCTTTTGTTATTGGGCAATCTGACAATATGCAATGGTTATTAATCAGCCCTAAAAAGTTACAGGGAAATAAGTCAAGAGTTAGTTTGGGGCCTCCCTGGTGGCACAAGGGGTTAAGCACAGCACTATGAAGCAATCCACAGCCTCTGCAGCATGAGTTGGCTCCCCAGCCGGCCAGGGAGAAACCCACATGGCACAGCAGACCTCTCCTGTCTCGCCCGCTGCTCCCCTCAGCAGTGTATTTCAGTCAATCTGCCTGTTCTGTTCCCCACTCTCTCTGGTGAATCCTTTCATTCCCCCTACCTCTGGCCTATGCAAAAATAAATAAAATCTTTTAAAAAAATTAAAGTTCTCATGAAGGTTAAAAGTTGGCAGATTTGGGGGTGTAACAGCATATATCCTTTAAAAAGCTTACATAGTAAATTTAAGGTCTTACTACACTGTGAAAACACACTTTCTTAAGTGAATACATTTTTCTTGTTTTGGATTATTTCAGCACTATAGAAAAAGACTTCTATTTTTTTTTAAAGATTTATTTATTTATTCAAGAATCGGGGTACAGGCCAGATCCACGTGAGGGTGAGAGGATTCACCAGAGACAGAGCGGGGAACAGAACAGTCAGACTGATGAAATACACTGCCAAGGGGAGCAGCGGGTACAACAGGAAAGGTCTGCTGCGCCATGTGGGACCCTCATCGGTTGGCTGAGATCGAACCGGTGCTGTAGAGGCTGCAGACAGCTTCACAGTGCGGAGCTCAACTGCCTGCGCCACCATGGGAGGCCCAGAAAAAGACTTCTATTTTAACAATAAATTTTGTTTAAATGAGTCAAACCAATGGAAACACTCAGCAAAAATCAGATTCCTGGGACATAAGTCAGAGTTGCAATTACACCAATAATATAGTTTAACTTTTAGCTGAAGGACGTCAGGATAATGGGCCATTCTAGGAATGTTTCATTTCTTCTTGTATTCTTAAAAATCATTTATGAAAACTGAATACAATAAGCTTACATACAAGCTTATCTTAACACTCAGAAGTTGTTGGTTTCTTGTGTGTAGAACTGGGGTGTAGGCCAGAGGTGGCAGGGCAGGGGTATGAAAGGATTTACCAGAGTCAGAGTGGGGAGCAGAACAGGAAGGTTTACTGAAATACAGTGCTAAGGGAAGAGCAGGCAAGACAGGAGAGGTCTGCTGCGCCATGTGGGTTAGCTCCCTGGCCAGAGATTGAACTCAGGTCCTACCAGTGATAGCACTGAGACTTACCCTCAGGGAGGGCTAACTCAGAAGTTGTTAAATCAGATACTTACTAACCAAACTGTAGATAAAGAAAAGTTTTCAATTCAGCCAAAGTATTGAGGTAAATAAATGGTTGCAAGTGACAATGAAGTCCCTACCTAGGTGTAGGGGAAAGGCCCTGCCATCAGCTATCCGCCTCTTTGCAAGAATCCCAACAAAAGGAGAAAGAATACAGTTTAGACCACCAATTTGCAGATCTATTTATTCACTCAATCACTGAAGAAAACATTTACTGCATACCTGCTATTTTTGGCTATTGTGCTAAGCATCTAACTAGCACAAAAATGAATAAAATTTGTCCAATTCCTCAAGCAATTCATATATGGGGAAATCTAGTGGGGCAGGAAGAAAGCAAGCATTTACAAGTCTCCTGTCTTTTAACAGGTGCTGTGCTAAACATGTCTTTCATATGTGTTACTTTATTTAATGTTCATGTCAACATCTTCAGGGATGAAATGACATTTCCATTTAAAGATGAGGATACTGAGGCTTGGGAAGGTTACAATAACTACTGTGGAGAAGCTCACTGAGTAGCACTCAGGTCAGTCTGAAAACAAGCCATGAATTCTGACTGTACCCATCTCATCTTGATTCAATGGCCAGGAAGAAAATATCTCAGAATTATTTTGGACATACTTAAAAAGTAAAGGAAACCTGACAGGTGGGTAGATCAGTGGTATCTTCGGACACTGAAATCCGTGGCCTTACCTTCAGTTCTTCATGAAATCTGCAGCCCAAAAGAAGGCTTATTACGATCCAAAAAAGACACCCTTCAAAGAAAACTATGAATACACTAAAGGCACTGGGCACAAGCTGTTCTCGTGCAGTAAGAGGAATAGGCGAGTCTTGGTCTCTAGCATAGAAAGGAGAACAAAGAAGAATCTGAAGGAGAAAATCAGGCTAGATACTTGACAATTTACTAATCTCTCCTGCCTGAGATACTGGAGTAGAGCTTCATCATGTCATCGGAAAAACTGAATCCAAATATGACATCCCTCACCCTTCCCATTCAGAATATATTTACAGATACACATCCAGTACTTTTCCAGCTGTTCATGTCACTGTTTTCTGCCACTGACACATTTTAAAAACAAAGGGAGCTGTTTTTGTCTTCAATTTTTGCAAGCATATAATTCTGAATTCAAAGGTTAACTTCTTTAAGCCAAGAAACTTGATTATCTATGGGCCTTTAAAATACCTTTGAGGGGCCTCCCTGGTAACACAAGAGGTTAAGACACAATCTATGAAGCTATCCGCAGTCACTGCAGCAAGAGTTCGATTCCCAGCAGGGCAGGGAGCTACCCACAAGGCACAGCAGTCCTCTCCTGTCTCGCCCGCTGCTCCCCTCAGCAGTGTATT